TCTGACCTAAGCCATACTCAAATTATTTAAATAAAATATCCCTTTTTAGGAGCAAGTCTCTGGGTGCGGATATTTCTTCTGCATTTGCATTAGATTATTATGTGCAGTCAGCAATTTCCATGGCAGAATGCCCTTTACATGATTTTGTACCGTGACTTGGCAGATACAATGGCATCTAATATTGATGACTTGTATGCTGAATTATGATTCTGCCAAACAGTATGAAACAATATAAAAATTATAATTTGTATGATTTATATTCATTTGTTTTGGTACTGTCCATATGTAGCTTGTTTTTGGTCGCAGGTTCAGGAATGGCTGAAGAATTGCAACATTTACCTGGAGCTAACTCTGCAAATAGCACTGCTGGGTGATTTAAAAAGTCATAGTCAATCAGTCAATAATTTAATAATACTCTTAGCAAAAATGTTTATCTTTAATTTATAATATAGAGAATCCATGAGAATAGAAAGGTTCAGAACTTTTGTGAAACATCACAGCACAGTTAAAAAATATATGGCAAATAGAAATCAAAACTGGATGGTGTTCAGAGATAGATGGGAGGGGTTGAGTGGAGCTGAAGGATGGTACTAAAAACAAAAAAAAGAGAACTATTGTAAAATATACTGTATTCGTCAAATGTATACAGTATATATAAGCTGGAAGTAGAAGCCTAAGTGTTGTTGTCCGTTAGTTTACTCCAATTAGGGGAGGGATGGTAGGGATAGAGGAAAATAATACATTTTAATATTTTTTTCAATATGGGGAATAGGAAATGATGCAGACAATTACATTGATGGAAGCCTCAATCTATCTGCAATATTAAAGCTGATCAACCACCCCCCCCCCCCCCAAAAAAAATAAATAAATGGTATTACAAAAAAATTATAGTAATAATAATCAAAACGAAGGAGCGATAATTAGCGAATCACAGGCTAATGCTATAGCTAGTTCCCTGATAGAGGGGTCACATTGGCCCACTCATCCTCTTGTCTTCAGACAGACAGTAGGTAGGAAGTTGTGGTGTCTAGAGGATGTCTGGGGCAGAAAATTCCCACAGAATCAATGAGAGCAGCAGAGCCTGCACTGCTGTGGTCGATTCTCTGCCAGTCAGTGTGGTGTAATGGAGCCGTTTCTTTCTCCACTGTTCATCCGCATTTAACTGATTTCTTTTTTTTTCCTGTGCTAACATCAATTGGATAGAAAATGACCTTAAAAACTTTAGGGAGCACCCAAAACATCCACTTGCTTTTTCGACTATTGTACCTATTTTATCTCTTGGCATAAAGAGATCCTGATTACTGTACATTATTCCACTACTAAACTAGCTCAGTAGTTCTACTCCTAAATTTGAACCTTGCTATCACAAGACCCGCCACAGTGCTCCTAGCCGATGGTAGATAAAACACAGATCCCTAGGGAGGTTTCCTTCATCACCCCCCTCCCTCCTCATGTTGACTCATATTGGGGGGTTACTAACCATAGGGCAGGCAGTCCACTTGGGTAGTTAACATCCCCTTTCCACTATTCTCCATCCCTCCCTCCCATTGCCTTTCTCTATCCCTTTCTCCTCACTCATAATGGGCAGTCCACGTGGGTAGTGCATATTTCTCTTCTCTCTCCATCCCTCTCTCTCATCCCTCCACCCCCCCCCTCCCATTCCTCTCTCCATCCTTTTCTCCCTCCCTTCTCTTTCCCATCCCTCTCCACTTCTCTCCCTACCTCTCTCCCATCCCCCTCTCTCTCTCCATCCCTCTCTCCATCCTTATCATTATCCCCTCTCTTCTCTCTCTCCATCCCTCTCTCCTTCCTCTCTCCCTCCCTCTCTCCCCTCCTCCACACACACGTCATGCTGTGGCCTCTTGTACTAACGACACCACGTCCAGGCCCTAACGAGATCACACGCTGATGTGAACTCCATCTGCTCCCCTCAATTGCCCCCCACCCCTCCCTTCCCTCTCATCCACCCCCACCCCCTAAGAGATAGGCTAAATGCCCCATCTGCTTGTGTCACAATATCTGTCCCCCTCTCTCTAAAGACTATGGTGTGTGCATGGCTCCCATCAACACTGTGTGTTAGCCAGTCACATTGCATTGTGTGGTTTGTTCCAAAGACTCAGTTGAGAGAGAGAGAGAGAGAGAGAGAGAGAGAGAGAGAGAGAGAGAGAGAGGGGAGAGAGAGAGAGAGAGAGAGAGAGAGAGAGAGAGAGAGAGAGAGAGAGAGAGAGAGAGAGAGAGAGAGAAAACGGGATGTTTAGTTTTAAGAGATTGATCTCTTCAGTTCCATTATTCTAATAAGTCCTTATTATCAATACATTTGACGTCTGATATCAATGCAATGTCACCGACATATTTTCAAAAGAAATATTATTTTTCACTGCCACCATACAACTATATGATTGGCTTTGAACTAATCACATGGTTTTACTTTAATCGGGAAAGTGAAATTGGATTTCCGTCAAGGACTGTCCACTTTCACTATTGTGCTTCATCGTACAGGATACAAAACAGAAAACGCAATGTTCCAAAGGTCTGATTCTTACACCTGAGCAAACTCCTCCACACCTCAGATGGAGAGAAAGAGAGAGAGTATCTGCTAAAGACATGCACCTTGTGTGATATTATGATCCTACTGTACCTTGCCAAAAGTCTGCGCGTGCAGGTGGTGTGCGTGCGTGAGTGTGAGTGTAGAGAGTGCATTGTATTGTTTTGCTTACACCATGCACCAATATACCAGACTCTTCAGGGATTAGATTCCTCCATTAACGAAAATACTGTATTACAAAACAGTCTTCATATTATTGTGTATTTAGATTTCATTAAAATTACTGAATTGAACCGTTATCTTTGGTGCGTAGCCGATAGCTAACACCCACATACGATAGCCAGATAACCCACCTAACGCTGGGGGTCTACAACCGATACACAGAGAAACGCATACATAATGTATCTAACATAAATGCAATGCGAAACACAATTATGTATATTTGTATAGAAATTGGGTTCGGTTAGGCTATTTCTAGATCGCACCATTTGAGTATTTGTCTGACTCTGTATCTACATTATCGGAATAATCTACTATTTGATAGTATGATGCCCCCACACGCAAACATGCACAACGAAAAACAGCTAAAATCAAATAGACCATCTGTCATGCATTCCACTGAAAATATATCTTATAATTTCAAAACATAAAAACATTCAAAACGCTATTCTACATAACCGGACTGCACTAACCTGTTCCGTCTCGTGGCCGCGTCGTTGTTTCCGTTTAATTTGAGATCTCTGAACCGCTACTGATTGTCGAACCACTGTAAAGTCGTCGCGAGATTTAAACGGGAAATGCACTTCTTTCCTCAATGTGGGCCCCACCAACTACGTATGGCCAATGTGTAGAATAGATATCCTGTCCCTACCCTTTTAACAGTCTTTCTAAACTAGTAAACAAATAATTATTGCAGACCCATTTAATGTGTTTACAATAACAAATAAATACAATTAGGCCTACAATAAGTCGAGAACACACAAATATTTTTGATGAAAATAAGTGATTTCCATTACATGTCAAGGATTTACATGATTTTCATCACATGATCTGTGTGTAATCCTTATGCTTTAGATGAATATTCTTTGGAAGAAATACAGATTTGTTTGGGTTAAAGCTACTCTAAGTTGTGCAGAGTATTACACAATAGCTTAATAGGTCCTTATTGCGTTGGTTATGATAAGGTAAGACAGGGCATCTATGAGTCAAATCCTCAGAAATCATGGCTATTACATTCGTTGAAATGGCCAATGAGCAAATGTAAATCTTATGGATTGTGGCTTTAATGGAACTGAATCTTCAAGATGTCAATCTATCAAAAATGCTGTTCAATGTAACTCATGCAAATATGCTAAGTTAATAATTGTACTTATATTATGTACATTTACATTTACATTTTAGTCATTTAGCAGACGCTTTAGATGTTTTTTATTATTTGTATTATTGTATTTTTTATTTTTTTTCCATACTGGCCCCCCGTGGGAAACGAACCCACATCCCTGCCGGCCAAACCCTCCTACCTTGGACGACGCTGGACCAATTGTGCGCCGCCCATGGGTCTCCCGGTCGCGGCCGGCTGCGACAGAGCCTGGACATGTATACATGTATATAATATATAGGCTGATTATAATATATGTACTCCATTATAATATACGTGGATTTTAAAAAATCAGTATTTACTAATTCAATCAGTGTTCACATTATATTCACTCTGCCCCTCATGTTCATCTCAGGGAACTGCCGTACAGGAGTGACATCTACTGGATGAAAATGAGTATTACAGTTAAGAGGTATCATCTGCATTGAAATCAAGACGAGACATCAGGATAAGGCAGAATTTATATAGCCTGATGTCCAGTTCTTGCACCAGACACAACAGATGTCTGATTTTCAAGCCGGCTAGTAGAAGATACCCATACCCTTACAGTAACATGGTTTCAACTAGATGTAATGTCTTCTGCTCATCAATACATTATTTTACTCCAAGAGATCCTTTAAAACACCACAATAATTTTGATTGTAAGAATGAATGAGACACAATAATCTATCTTGTCATAGTCATCCATCAAACTTTAATCACACACAAAGCATTTATACAGTACCAACAATCAAATATTATTCTCTGTTAAGACATACAGAAGTGAAGGTTACACATATGATTTCATCAATCATTATATATTTTGTATTCTATATCTTAATTCAATAATTCATTATGTACAATTGTCTTCATGTGAAGAAATGAGGCAGAGACTTCGAGTGAGAGAGAGAAGTCTGAGAGAGTGAAAGAGGGGGAAGGAGGGTTAGGTATTTAAGGTTGATTTTACATTGTCTTAAGGTCTGTGATGGTCATTGGTTGTGGTCAGGGGTCAGATGGTGAGGCGGTTGTGGGAGGCACTGGTCGGCCTCTCCAGGTATTGGTGGACACCTGGAGAGACAGCCCAATGAGAAAGAGGAATCACCACATGTAGGAGTCGTCATATCTGGAGAGGGAACAGAGGGAAGAGGGAGAGAGGAAGAGAGGGAGAGAGAGAGAACAATGAGTCATGTGGAAATGAACATTTGGTTTACTCCTGGGCTACCCAAAGACACACCTACTAAAAGTTGTGCATGCCAGTCTTTTCCTATACAGTAGGTGGCTGTAGCCGATAAAGCAGCCATTCTTTGACGCTACAATATTGAAATAACCCCAGAAACAAAGAGATATCAGTCTTTGCATCTTCCGTTGAAATTGTGTTGGAAATGTTTGATATCTTTGATGGACTGACCTTGATCTCTGGTCTCTCTCTGCGTTGTTGCCGAACAGCAACTCTGACATCACTCCCTCCTGGGTGGACCTCTTGCCATACCTAGAAAAAAGGAAGGAAGAAAGAGAGAGAGAGAGAGAGAGAGTAAAGACTGTCAAACTTCCACTCCCCTCTAAGCATACTGCAGGATGATCCCACTTCTCAATGACAGCTAGAACAGTTTGCTGTCTGAATGTGTCTAAAGGTGCCAAGGTAGCTGTCCGAGGTGTGTGTAATGGGAGAGGGGAGATATAATTATGTGTATGTGTGAAACTTGAGCATGTCAGCCCACAAACTCCCACAGACACTGGAGCCACCAGACAAGGCCAATTAGAACCTAGTGAGTCAGAGGTCCTTTCCTCTGAAAATATGCATTCGAGGCCTTTCTTGGTCAACTACCAAAGATAATGAGGTTTTTAAATGGCATGATAATGTAGTTCTCTGTAGTAAGGTAGGTAATAGACTGAGAAACTACGCTTGGATTGTTCAGGCAAAATCGAATTGTTCTTCTTTCCGGTGTGTTTGTCTGTTTGTGTATGAGCACTCCCTGCACAGATGATGTCTGTACAAACGATCAATTTCTCTTTGAAATTTAAATTGGAAGTTGAATATCTCTGAGGGATTTGGCTGGAATTGCTTCCTCTGTGGGGAAAACATTTTGAGTGGAAGATGTTCACTTTCCCATCATGCCACCTAACCTGCCATTCATAACGGCTATGCAATTTTACGCTCCAATTCAACGCCACTGGGCACTCTAAAGCGATGCCAGTGAAGCGGAGGTAAGCATAATCAGCCAGCCTTCTAAGAAAGCGACCGAGGCAATCACACCTGCTCCATAGACAGCGGGTTGTAACAAAATGTAAAAGGGAACCATCATTGTCAGACCAATATTACTGTTATATATTTTTGATTCCAGGAAAATCAGTGTTCTTGCTGCAGGCAAAGCTTCTCTAATGTTCAAATTAGCATTTCCGATTGATCATTCATATTTGGCGGCAGGTAGGTTAAGAGTGTTTGGCCAGTAACCGAAAGGTCACTGGTTTGAATCCCCAAGCCGACTAGGTGAAACATCTGCCAATGTGCACTTGAGCAAGGCACTTAAACCCGAATTGCACCTGTAAGTCACTTTGAAAAGAGTGTCTGCTAAATGACTAAAATGTTAAATGTAGTCCAATGTGTTATTATGACAGACAAGAAGAACAAACTCCACTAAGTGTCATCCTCTTGGACTATCAAGTTCTCATCTACACTTTTCCAGTATATGATTGGTCGTCATCCAGGCCATTGTGATATTATGACAACTTAAATGTGGATGCTATATGATAATGGATTATAAAAGAGTAAAAATGTTGCCCTCTAAGTTGAATGTAAGAGGGTTGGATATATTTTCTTAAAGATCAATGGCCTATTTGAATATCATGAATAATATCAGGTGTGCCTGATTCAGTGCCATTTCAGCATAAGACATAGACCACCTCTTCAACCCAGACATCACCATATTAATATAGAATATGTTATAGGGAACCTGCAGGCACACAGATATCCATAATTCGATTTGGAGACTTCACGTGGGTCTGTCTTCACAGGTTTTATTGCTATGGCATTATTTATATGGAGGGCCAAAAGCTTTTTGAGAGTGCCCTGTAATAAAATGTTGAAAATATATATCATGGTATATTAAGAGCTTGATGCAAAAATAAGAGCAGAAAACTCAGGGGCCACTGTCACAGTAGACTACTTAACCTACACCAGAATAAACATGAAAAACTGTTCCATTTGCCATAAAAAAACGAGGTATGCCGTTTATAACTTAATAGAAAACATGTCCTTTGATGTTAGGACTAGGAAGAAAGATAATTTAAATGGCAAAAGCTGCTGCGTAGAGTGCCATATGGCGCGCGCAAGGTCTGCTTACCTCTGTCTCGTGATGAGATTGATGTAGTGTCTGAGCGCGGTGTAGTATTTGGCCAGCTCTTCAGGAGGCGCGTCTTCTCCGGGGTTCTCCGGTTTAGGTGGGTAGGCGTCCACGAAAGTCCCGAGACACACCAGCACGCACAACACCAAGGCGACCAAGATGGTCCAGGGTTTCAGCATAAAGGCCATCTGTGGTCAGGAAAAGGGGGGTAGGGACCACGTGATTGTTAAATGTTAAAAAGCCTCAACGGAGCTAAATAATATAGCCTAAATAGCCTACCAATCAATATTACACCAATTTCATAGATGAGCAGGCATCCTAATAAAACATATGATGTCCACCTGTTAATAATGGATCATTTCGATCCTGTATTATTCTTTAATTAAATCTGCATTTTCTGTAGGCTACTGAATGCGTCTTGAGAGGAAGTTACAGTACAAGCTAATTCTCCATGTTTGATTACTAATTTGAATTCAAATCGAAATAATTACCTACAAAGTAATAGGAATGAGTTTGAAAGGGAACAAGCAACAAGTAAAACAGCAGAAATAATTGGTAAAAGCTTACCAATTATATTATATTTCCCCTTGGAAACATGTTTTCTCTATAATTCACTAGTCATTGGTAGAATAGTAGGCTATTCAACATGAACATGATTTATTATGCTATTGTCAAATATTTGCAACTGTTATAGGAATGCATGTTGTGCCTACAGCATTTTGGGCTACAACTTTCGCGCCGTAGCTGTCCATGGTTCTGAAAAGCTTTTTCTAGTATTTTCTAGCATTTTCATGATCGGACCATTCAAATGTTTTCAATGACGAACTGCACAAATAGCTACTCATTTTTTATGTCCAAAGATGCAAAGAAATGTAAGCGTCCGCACCACGAGAGCTTAAAAGTAATACAAGCAAAACCTGCAAACATTTCAAATGCACAAGACTAAAAGTTGTACTTACTTTGAGAAGACTTGACGTGAGCTACAGGTAGTTAAGACAACAGGTGTCTGCGTCCAGCAGTGTGGATTCTATTGCTTGGCTTCTGCAATGTTCCTTTTTTAACTGGTGTCTTTGCAGCAAATCGCTGGTCTTTTGCTTCACTCCAACACAAGGGGGTTTATATACCCATCGTCGCCTCGTCAATGCAGTGGGACGGGTGGCTGTGATGGTGAGAAGGGGGATGGGGGCACAATACCGACGTCACCTGATGATTAACATATTACTAATGCATCACACTAGTCGAACTATGTTGGGAAACTCAATTTGAATCTCTGACGTAGGCTATAAGGACATTAGGGCAATTTTGATCACACCTGTCCTATTGACAAACCAATGGAATGCTGTCAAACAATTTGGAGGGACGATGTCAAACATAGCTAAATGGTAATAAGCTTCAAACAGTCTAAAGAACGATAATCATTAGGCCTTTACTCATTCTTTCACAATTTCCAATGGATATCTTGGTTAAAACAGCAACAACATATAGTGCCGGGCCTCGACATATAAGGATTACACTGATTCGACATCAGTAGGCAAAATATCTATTATTATGACTTACAAGGGATAATACTCCCTATAGGTCAGAAAGTGAAATGTACCCATTAGAGTGTTTGGTGGAGTAGCCTAATCCAATAACCACCAGGTGGCTGTCATCTTCCTATAGGTACAGTAATTTAAATCGAATCAAATCTAATCAAATTGTATTTAACACATACACATGTTTAGCAGATGTTATTGCGGGTGTAGTGAAATGCTTGTGTTTCTAGCTCCAACAGTGCCCTATGTCTAACAATTCACAACAATACACACAGTACACACAACCTAAAAGTTAAATAATGGAATTAAGGAATATATAAATATTATAAATATTAGGATGAGCAATGTCGGAGTGGCATAGACTAAAATACAGTAGAATAGAATACAGTATATCAAATCAAATCAAATTTGATTTGTCACATACACGTGTTTAGCAGATGTTATTGCGGGTGTAGCGAAATGCTTTAGCTTCTCGTGGTAATATCTATAATTTCACAACACATACCCAATACACACAAATCTCAGTAAGGAATGGAATTAAGAATATATACATATATTGACGAGCGATGTCAGAGCGGCATGGACTAAGCTACAGTAGAATAGTATAGAATACAGTATATACATATGAGATGAGTAATGCAAGATATGTAAACACTATTAAAGTGACTAGTGTTCCATTTCATGAAGTGGCCAGTGATTTCTAATCTATGTCTATAGGCAGCAGCCTCTAATGTGCTAGTGATGGCTATTTAACAGTCTGATGGCCTTGAGATAGAAGCTGTTTTTCAGTCTCTCGGTCCCAGCTTTGATGCACCTGTACTGACCACGCCTTCTGGATGATAGCGGGGTGAAGAGGCAGTGGCTCGGTTGGTTGATGTCCTTGATGATCTTTTTGGCCTTCCTGTGACATCGGGTGCTGTAGGTGGTAGTTGCCATACCAGGCGGTGATACAGCCCGAAAGAATGCTCTCAATTGTGCATCTGTAAAAGTTTGTGAGGGTTTTAGGTGCCAAGCCAAGCACCGCAGTCTGAAATTAAATACCTATCCACTTTGAGATATGTTGGTATTTTGGTCCATTAATATTAGTATTTTCAAAAAGTAATCATAAAAATTAAAACAAAAACTTGATGAAAATTTATATTTCCCTTAGTTTATCATACTACCGCCATCAACATTTGTATACATTTTAACCACTTAAAATGGACATACATCAATAATTTCAAAGCTAACTACATTGAATTACACATAATTTCTAAGCCCATTTCATAGAGAATGTTACAAACTGGACTACATTTAGTAGCTTACTTTGAAGAAATGGTGATTGGGTCTAAATAGGCTTTTGGCGTTTGGTAGTCTTAATTCAGTTGTGTACTTGTCTTTAACTGCTATTTCCTGAAAGTCAGTCTCTTCCCACAGGCCAACAAATCTTTCTCAGTTTCAGAAGCATCTGCATTCACCAAATTCTGTGCGGTTATCCATAAATATATTCTCCAGACTGGCCCAGAGGGAATTGTTGATATGTTGTCAATTTTTCTATTCTAGATAACATTTTATTTGGCCAAATTTGCCAAAAACGCATTTTGCATACATATCTTTTGTATTTTATAGATGGAAAGATGAAAAAGTATTTATCCACAATCTGCTCTGGACAAGTCTGGACCTGGAGTGTCTTAACAAAATGAAATAAAAATATTTAGGCTGGCTTCATTCAGTGTCCAGATTTTTTTTATTTGCGCAGTATGCAAATATGTGCATATTTAACGAGCTATCGCATAATTTGCATATTTTAATAACATATTTCAAAAGAAAATTTTTTTATACAAAAAAGAAATATATATATATATTCAACTGTTAAAAGTTGATGTGATATGATTAAGAGAAATAGGCTGCACTTTCCATATGGGCTACACTTCATTTCATTATTCACAGTAATCTAGCTGCTACGTGTTATAACAACATATCCTCAATGAGCTACAATTATACTTCATTAGACTCCGCATCCTGTAAACAGTGAGTGTTAATAATTTGATATTTATTGTTCCCTTTTCGAGGTTCACAGTCATTAATGGCACTATGTAAATTATTTGCAGGTGATTTGGAGAGGGGAAGACGTGGGAGTCGGGTGAATCAGAAATCAAACCCAGTTTTCCACGAGATTATAAAACTCTCAGGGAAAAAATACAGGTGAGTGTTAGTCAGTCAGTGTATGACACTAAATCAAATAACACCAGTTGTATGGAAGTATCTCTAAGGGCCCAGAGGCTCCTCCCTCTTTTCTTACATTTACATTACATTTTAGTCATTTAGCAGACGCTCTTATCCAGAGCGACTTACAGTTAGTGAATACATATATTTTTTTATACTGGCCCCCCGTGGGAAACAAACCCACAACCCTGGCGTTGCAAACGCCATGCTCTATCAACTGAGCTACATCCCTGCCGGCCATTCCCTCCCCTACCCTGGACGACGCTGGGCCAATTGCGCGCCGCCCATGAGTCTCCCGGTCGCAGCCGGCTGCGACAGAGCCTGGATTCGAACCAGGATCTCTAGTGGCACAGTTAGCACTTCCCTTCCACTCTCTGCCCCTCTCCCCTATTTGACACCTCCTCTTGATTGACTATGACCATTCATTTCCCTTTCTATTGTTGTTGATTCACTCAACTCCCCACCTGTCCATTACCCATTAGACGTCAAAAATGGCTCAAAATAACTTCAGGGCTCATGCCGTCTCCCCATATACACAGGCCCCTTCCAAAAAGACGCCCAAAGTGTCTGACGTGGCTCCACATGAGGCGTCAGTGGCTTTCTCATCCATACTGATCCTCCTCTGCCCTGTGGACATCTATCAACACCACACACACACCCACCCCACACACATACACACAGCTCGTGGTGTGAGCTAGTCATAGGGCCCCAAAGAACTAACACCAACCTAACCTCCATCTCAATATTACACTGTTTACAGTTTAACTCAATGAGAGTTGGAGGGAAAGCAGTTTGGGAGAAGAAAGTCGAAATATGATCGGGAAGAGAAAGCGAGATAGAGAAACGAGAGAGAAAGAGAGAAGGAATACAGCTTTTCTTATTTTCCTTATTATGTGACAAGTGGCTTGCAAATTAAGATCCAATTAGGTAAAAAAAAAAAAACGAATTGCTTTAATCTCAAACACATCAAGTGTCAAGTTGTCCTGTCTTAAAAGCGAGAGAGACAGATTCCATTCATGATTTTGGTGTGCGTGCTGTAATATAGCTGTGTCTCATTTTAAGAGGAATAGAGCAATCTAATCCACATAGCGTTACCATTAGCAGCAACGGCATAATGACATTGTGAATAATCTAATCAGTGAACACAAACACACACATACACACACACACTAAAATTCCCATGCTTTGAAATGTCACCCTAAATTTGTCTGCTCCAAAAAGAAAGAAATATCAATTTTCCAGTTCATCCTGGGTACAACACTGCTGGTGTGATGAACAAGAGACACCAAAACATCACAGACAATGTCTGGCAAAAGGCTAATGGACAGTAGTATTATCTCTGACTCTGGAGTGTCAAAATGTTAAGCAGTCTTCACAGTGGTATACATCAGTCAATATTACTACACTTAAGAGTAATCAATGTGTCTTAGTAAACATAAGATGGCATG